TGTAAAAAAATGGAAACCTGTCTAATCAATAGGAAGAGAATTCGATGTGGTTCTAATTTACACAGATTTTAATGCAGTTCTATGAAGCTAATTTGAATTTTTTAGCTAGTATTTTCAAATTTGTCCAGTATATTTTAATTAATTGTTTATATTTGCAGGAAGGAAATGAATAAAGTTCGAATGTTTTTATATGCAAAGGGAATGTCGTCAATGTTGGCTTATCCTATATCAAAATTATTTACTTCCCTTGCATATCTTGCATTCTTTTTTAATGGAGGACAATTAAACCCCGAAATTGCATTTATCACTATGACTGTTTCTTTGTACATCTTTATCAGCACTGTTAGCATGTTCTCACTAGCAATAAATAATTTTGCAGAAATTTTGGTTTCACTGAAGCGACTTCAGGTAATGTGATCTTTTCATATATTCTTATAGTATATATATATATATATATATTACTTAACATTAATATTGTAATATTATTCTACAGTGTTAATACTTAATCTAAAAAATTATTATTGTAAATTAGAATTAGAAGTACAGGAACCTGCTTAATAATGACTTGGCGTGACATTTGATGTGTTCCTGTAAGAAGCCAACTTCCAGGGCAATCAGTTAATTGCTCGTCTGTGATGGTCTAAAGTCTATTCGTATTCGATTGTTCGATAAGGCAGTAAAATCTATTGATTTCTCTAAATGTATTTTTAATATCACAAATACATTCTGAATCGCTAACCATGATATAAGGGCTAGAATTAAAAATAAAATTATAAAAATACACTTGGTGAAATAAAGTGTGGTGGATATACATACCTGGTTCAAAATATTTTCAATTGTATGAATATACTTTTAAAGAAAATTATAGTTATATATAGCTTTGTAAAGAAACGAACATAAAAATAACAAAATATTCTTAACTTTTTAAATCTTAAAATAATCCAATTAGTCAAACAGCTCTCTACAAGTGGCTCATGGATGGAATCAGAGACTGTCCTGGTAGGTGTGCAGTGTGTGCATGCACGCGGGCTGCCAAATCCCGAGGGGCCTGATACTGGTCAATGTCAAATGCCTCTTTGTCTCTTCACTAGTATACCTCAAAGGACGCAACAGGGTTGATCTAAATTTTAAACGTTTCTCACAGTAGCTATAAAAATCTACATATGTTAAACTGAGTAGACTGTCCGTCATTTCTTTTCTAATTAATTCGTTTTAAAATTTACAACTTTTCGATCATTCTCATTGAACTGGAAAAAATTCTGTCTTTATTACATCTAATATTTCGAAGAATTCAGTCCCCACTGTACTCGGCTAAAGATTGGTTTAGTTAACCTTTTGTTTAAGTAAAATTACGGCTCTTTCAGTAAGGTTATATTTCTGTTCTTAATTCCCTAATCTCTTAATTATTTAATTACTTCTTAAGTTGAAATAAGTTGAAACCGGTTACTTTGTACTTGAATATTTGTAGTCTTGAAAAAATAGTGGAAAGACAAATTTTTTATAACAACGGAATAAATGTTATCATTAAAATTTTTCTGATAAATCGTAAAATTAATAAAAATAAATTGTAGAGCTTTTTCTGTATCTCGTGCATCTCTCTCATTCATTACATTTAGTTGTAAATGATGCTGCCAAAGTAACAGTTAATTTTTTAACATTGTACAAGAATTATACACGTTTTTTCCCATCCCCTTATAGACAGGCATACTAAATCGTAATATCACTAGTTTAACATTGAAATCTGTAAGTAATACAAGATGGGGGAGCAGAATAAAAGCAGAATAAATATATCAAATATTTTAAAGGATTTTTTTTAAAACTCCTGTCAACTATACAGAACTATCATAAAAACATATCAGTAAATTCCTATCGGTTGGGTTAAGTTATAAATCTACTCGCAATTTATATAATGGGGCGAGGGAGGCCAAATATCTAGTACGCGGGGGTTAACAGACTAGATCCGGTCGTGGATTGAATCATTGGAAGCGTTATACGATATTTTGGTGCCCGCCAGTTGAATAAGAAATGTTTCTTTCACAAGAAATGTATAAAATTACAGTACTGTATTAGACTTACGGTACCTAATTTACATACTGTACAGACGATAGTTAGCGTAAAATCTCCGTAGCGTGGGGCTACGCGGCGGAAAATATATATATAATTATAATAAAGTTACAAAAAAAATTTATGATTATCATCTATTTTTTCATCCAGGTATTACAAAAATCCAAAGAGACAGCTCGTGTCCAATTCCAATTAATTATGAATGAAATTTTTACATTTTATTACAAGAGTTGTTTTGTCACACAATTTTTCCATTCGCAATGTATACTGACAAAAACTATCAAAATTACTTTTAACATCAACGTATATGAAAATTTTACAGTTTTTCTTTATTTTCTTGCAGTATCGTAGTTATTGTAACTGTGGCCTTTAATAATATTATTAAGATTTTTTTAAGTATTCATAATAAATAATGCTTGTACTTTGCGCATTCGACATATAAATAGTCGAATGTTTGGTTGTCCACTCATTATTTTTTCAATTTCTCCAATTTCTATCTAGAAAACAAATTTGTTTAAACAATCAGCCAAATACTTTTTTTTATATTTCGAGCGATGTGTATTTTTAAATTTAAGCATTTGATTTTTGTAACTGTCCGACTAAATCCCCCCCAAAAAAATTATAATCTAACTAGCAGATAAGCCCGGCATTGCTTTTGCAAAAAGTAACGATAGCAAAGTTTAAGATTATTACATTACAACCAATCTTACCCGTTTTCACAGAATGCAAGGATTAGGTTCTCCTGTTTCCAGACTAATTAGAAAATTTTTAGATGGGTCTAATATTATGTTCGATTTCCCGCAAAAACGCAAAAAAACGCATCTGCGCCTATAAATCTTGCATGTTGCTTTCTCTTAACACTTCTATTCTTAAATATACTATGCCAGAAACCTTCGCGGGAGTGTATTAAACAACTTCCCAACGTTTCATGGCAATCGGATAAATGGTGTAGTAATGCATGAAGGACACACAGTCATACATTCATTTTTATATACCAGTCGACCCCCCTATAAGATCATAGATACTAGAGTTTCTCAAACGGGATTCCAGGATTCCGGTTGTTTTTTTAACCCGGGAAATATCCCGGGAAATTTTTCTTATCCCGAGAAATTTCGCAAATTTCTTAAAAATTCATTTTTTTTTTTTCTTATTTTGCGTTAAGGTTGAAGAATTTTGCAAATAGAAAGCATAATTAACTCATTCACTGTCAGAATACATTTGTATTTATTAATTTTAAACCTACCTATTAGTTTTTTTTAAATTTTTGCTCGTTATAGCATGTCACAAATGGTCAATAATCAATATATAGCTTATTTGTGGCAGGACTATAAAAATTCTTTACTTGTCGGAACCTGTAATATCTGGAATAATTGTGCTTACGC